TTGTTTGATGGAATTGTGGCTATAGAACATCAGATGTTAGATTTTATTCAATCTGTATTATGATATGAGATTTGAAAATTCTCCATGGAAACACCGGCAGAATTTCATAAGATAAAAATAAATGATATGTTTATTTTATATAGAAGTGTAATGATTGATAATCAAACGTTATTTGATCAAATGCTTCCACCTATATATCAACAAAATACTGCAAGTATTATGCGAACTAATTATCCCGGATATTTTAATACTAATCAAGAACCTCAAAGACGTGCAGCTGGTAGTTCAGATACTCAATCCGATGTTGGACCTCTCGTATGTTGATTTATTTCTAAGTTAAAATAGATTTTTAATTATTTTTAATTTAAGATTCATACATTTGATCGAGTTTGGGCAGATTATAAAAAACGTACAAATATAGAACGTAGTGTACCACGACCATTTTCATTAGTAAGTTGAAAAAAGAAATGTTAAAAAGATTCAATATGAATCTAATTTTCATAAATAGGAACGACTTTTTACTTTGATGACAGAAATTATTGCTTATGAATGTTATTGTGATAGTCATTTATTGACTGTCACTGGAAATATTGTGGTATGAGAAATAATCAATTCTTTATTTTCTTTTTTATATACTATTATTTAGGATGATATTTATGAATTTTTTAATAAACGATATTCAACACTTGATGAAATAACTTATTATGCTGTACATGATTTTTTCACTTCATTAATTGCATATAAACATGAATTTAAGGTTTTATTTTTATTTTTTTAACATAATATGTTAATTCAGATTTATTTCTTTTTCTCTTAGATTCTTGAATTATTTACACATATTTTAATTGGAAATATTGATTTAGCTTGTATTTATTATATAACTATTCTTTGTGATACTCTCGATAAAATTGAATGGAATGAAACAGATGATATACGAGTATTCTTTAATATTATTTATCCATTTCTTGATGTAAGTTTTTAAATAAGTTTATTCAATTATATTTTATAAAGTCAAATTTTATTTAAATTAGGATGAAGGTTTGGATACAGTTGTGATTGATTTTATATCATTTACAGAAAATAAAATAAATCGATCTCTTGTTATTGAATTTATTATAACATTATTACTTAAAGGCAAAGAACCATTACTTCAAGAAGTAAATTTTATTTTTAAGAACAAATGAATTTCTACAGGATGTTTCAAATGTTTTGAATCTCAAGAAAATTTCCTTATATACAGATAGAAAATGATCTTTAACTAAACATATCTGTATGAAATTTGAATACTCGTATCGATCATTTGAAATAACATTCTATTGAATGACATCTTTTTTTGCACGTATAGTAAATAGAAATAAAAAAATTTAATAATTATTGTTTCTGAACTCGATTAAAACAATATTTTTGAAGAAAAAAGAAAAATAGTATTTAACTGTTGCATATATTTACTCAATAATGCAAAAAGAGCTTGTTTAATTATAACATATTGATTTTCCACTACTTTTTATTAATTCTTGAACTCTTTAAAAAATTTTGACGTTCATTGTTTTTTATAATCTAATCATATTGCAATAAAATTTGAGCATTATATAACTCATCAATAATTTGTAATATAACCTTTGTTGTTTGTTTTTTCTCTGCACACAGTTTATTCATTAGACATGAATGGAAACATTTGTTTTTGGTGTCGATTTCAAATCTTGATCCTTGTTCCGGTTCCATCAAGATCGGAACCATCTTGCCTATATCTAAGTAGTATTTATATATTTTCGTTCGTTCTACAACTACTTATTTGTTCCTACTACAGTAAAACCTTTACTAATGAACATTGCCTTATTTTGAACAATGAACACTTTTTGTGGTCCTTGTTGCTTTTATATACTCTCTACTTTGAACACATGTGAAATGTTTTTTGACTTCTTTTTACTGACCATCACTTGATTCTTGTGAGCTACGAATATGCACATTGAGTTAGGATCAAATTTAATTGATTCGGATATTACTTCAAAAACACAAAGACAAATAACATTAAAGAATTTCAGAAAAAATTTTTTTTTTGTTGTAGTTGAAAAATGTTTCAATTCAAGATATCTAGATGAAAACAGATAAACAAGAGCATAGATAATCAGGAAAAGATAGAAGGAGTGATTCTAGAACAGTTTCTTCATTTGACAGTACACCATACATCAATTCTATATACCGAACACTTTCGTATTAGTGAACACTTTTTAATGGTCCCAAATAGTATTCACAATAGAGAGATTTTACTGCATAATCATCTTATTCTTATGTTTATATGGCTATTTTTATAAGAGAAGATTTTGTAATAGAATATTATGTTATTTCGCACGTCAAGACGAGTACTCAAGCTTCATATAGATAAATTAGTTAGAAATTATGCTGTGTCTGTAAATAAAGAAATTCTGTTGAAAATTCAAAATTTATCAAACAACCTGTTTTGTATATGTTGTACATTTTTATAGATGCGGTATAAACTTTCAGTTCAATTAACACAAAATTTTGATATGATGAATGAACTTGAATTTCATACTGCTATTGAAAATATTGCTTATACAGCTGATGAACGTTTTGTTTCAAGGTTTTTTCATCGTGCTGAACGTCATTCACATTGGGATAATTTACAAGGGTTTGTTTTAATGACGAAATTAGCTGGTAAGAAAATGTGATTTTTTTTTCTTTATTTTCGTTTGTTAAAACTAAGTTTCGATCATTTGAACGTTATCTAGACATAGCTGCATTCTATTATTTTACACAATTAATTGAAGAACTAAAAGAACCTTTGAATGAAAAAATTCAAAAAGAATATAATTTACGAAAAAAATATGATGGTATTGATCGTGGTAAGAAAATAGAAATAAATTAGTTAGCTTTTGTAATTGATTTTTCTTTATAGAACGTCGAGCTGGAAAACAAGTTCTTGATGAACATACGAACTTACTTAAATATTCCAAACTGAAATCTTTAGGAATTATTCTATATGAGTATGTTATATTTATTATTTTTTCTTCATGTAAATTAATATTTGAATCAATTTTCAGACCAACTATTGAGCAACTACCTGATGAAAGAAAAAATCTCAATGCATCAGCAAGTTTTGAAAATGAAGATATCTCACCATCATAAATCATATAATGTTTTGTATTTTATATAAAAAAAAGGAAATAAATATTAAAACGTAACGATAATTTGTCATTGACTAAAGATAAAATAATCGAAACTTCGTAAAATTCAATTTTTGTTATTACAAGAAAGAATGAGCAATTTTATTTTGTAATATTCTTGTGTAACCTTGACGACACTAAAAACGATGTGAATATGAAAAAACTTACGCAAATTTATCTACGACGTATGAGAATGAACCACTCCGGGTCTGAATCGGAAGCATTTTTATGAGAGACAATAGAATGTGTTTTAATCTATTGACAAAAGATTAAATAAGTCTTTTAGAAATTTATTTATACAATATTCAAAAAAAAAACGCGTTTTCTTCACCGAAAAAAAGATATATTTCCATCGAAGGGTGCATATTTGGAATCGACGATTCTGATACGATTTCAATTCCAACAAAATTCGATTTTGCTTATAATTGTTTTGAATATGTTTCTTTATACTAACAATTTAATTAGATTATATAGTATATATTGATTTAATAATGATATCTCGATAAGATAACAAATACAGGCAGAATACGTTGTAGTTAAATGGTTTTATATAGTCGTTCTTCTTTTCTTCTTAAAATTAAAAATATTAAATAATTTACACTTATGAAACTATGCCAAATTAATCCGAGATACCATGCTAAATTTACTTTTCTTGAAAAGAGCATTGAAAAGTTTTGTCATAGATGAAACAAATAGACTAGTTGACAGATCGATGGCATGATTTCTTGCGAATCTCAATGAATTTAATAATCGAAGCATATCTGCAAGTTATGGTCTGAAGATCACATGATCCTGAGCTTAATTATATTGTTTAGCGTCGTCGGACTATGATGCAGTTGTCAAGTACATCTGATCATATCTTCGGTTCTAAAAGAGGCACCTTTAATGATCAACAATAACTCTAGTGAAGATAAGAAATCTGGGAAAAACCTACCATGATGATTAGTTCTTTTGCATTTTCTAGATACCTCTATATCAAGGAAGTCTGTAGTAGTAAGATATTAGTTACTACCGCAGATTCTAAATACGCTTATCGACTTCACCATTATATTCTTAGTCACCTTAGCTTCATCTACCTAAATAAAATTTAGAAGTTATTGTTTCCAAGAAATTATCGTAACGTCTAGAAAAATTTTACTGTTTGACAACGTGCAGCTTTTGAAGTCAACTTTTGAAACTTCTGACTTTCATTTGAAAAATCATCCGCATGTTTCTTGTTTAACTGTTTTTTTTATTCATATAAATTGATGACTGGTTGTTAATGCCTTCTGAAATCTAACATACTCAGTTTCTATCATATTCCAATGAAAACTTATTCAGGAAAACAACTTAGACAATTTCTTATTTGTGATGTACTGTAATTGATTTGATGGTGTTGATGTATGAGTGTGAGTGTGGCTATGATGTGGGCATGGATGTGACTGTGAGTGTTATCAAAATAGAGTCACCTACACTCACACCGACTGTCCAATCGACATCCACAGCCACATCCACCCTCGCCTACCAACATACTCATATCCACTCACATATCCACACACCTATCTAATAGTTAATTCTTTTTTTCACATTTTAAATAATTATTATGGCTATGTTTCACTCAATAAAATGAAAAGAAGGATTTCATCATAAAAGAAAAGATATACTGCCTAATATAGCTAGATTTAATGCCTATGAATCACATAATTCCACGATTCATTTAGTTTACAAGCTACCTTATGTAAATAAGATAATACGTGTTGCTATGAACCATGACAACACAGTTAATGAGTTTACTGTTGTCTCAGTTTTTCAGTTCTCCTCATGATAACATATAAACAAATGTTACAGAAGTGTCGATCCGCACAGTAAGAAAAGATTCACTTGTCGAAATACACATAAACTTGCGCAACTGAACCAATGGCATTGGATTTGGGTGATGCTCAGGTGTTACCCCAGCCTATGCATTTTGTCGCTTATGTCCTAAATGTTTAGCTGTATTTCTCTCTTACAATGATTTACGTGCCGTAACTACTACTGCTGTGCAAAGCAGAGCATCTATTTAGGAGCTCTCCCCATATTAGAAGCGTTCCGAGGTCTCTAATTAGCCCTGCAAACTTTGACTGGAGTCTGCTGGGAAAAACTGAAAATTTAGCGGAAGAACCCTCTAAAAAAGGAGCTTTTACTATGGGAGAGACTTATATTACGAGAGAAGATTTAGAATTATCTAGCAAAAAGTCCAACACAATACATAAACTCAAGTAATTTTCGTTTCTTTTTTCAATGATAAAATACAACACGCGCCATGGACAGAAACAAAAACTCTACAACAGTAACTGACACTGCTGTTAGCGCTGAAACAACTAAACACATGAGCATAAGGNAGCCTCCCCACATCAGCCCCAACATATGCTCCAAATTTCAGCTCATTTGAACGTACCTAGGCTGAGATCGATTTTTGAGGGGGGGGGCCTTAAGAGAACTAAAAATATATTTTGAAAAAAGTTTTATTTAGTCAACAATCGGATGACTTTTTCATTTGTTAAGTGCACTTATGAAAGGATGATTCATTGTTGATATAATTCATAGCAACAAAACAAATTTTATTCGACAATTTAGGTGTTGTTACAAATTAGTACGAGCAAAATTCAAATGGTTTGGTATTCAAACACGAGTAGAAAATATTATTATGACCCAAGAAGAACGTTTATTTCGTAATTTTCATCGTCAATTATTTTGTTGGATGGATAAATGGTATGGTTTAACAATGCAAGATATTCGAGTAATTGAAGCTGCGACAATTGAAGAACTCGATAAAGAACGTAAAGAAGGTCAAAAAAGAGGTTTTGTCGGCGAAGAATAAATCTTTATGTTTTTTGTCATTCTCTTACATTCGTTTGTCAACTAAATTCTGCTCATTTAATTCTTTATTTTTATTTTTCCTTTGATGTCTAGTGACAATGTGTGTGTGTGTATCCATATTTATATTCCATAATGATCATCACAATGTTCTGAAAGAAAAAAAAATACAAGCTAACGTTATTTCTTTTGTACTTTTTTTTTTCTTTAGATATTAGTGGTCCTTTATTTTTTGTGCATTTATCTACATAAAGTAGAGGATCTTGTTTGTTTTTCCCTTGATTTCATATTCTCATCTTGTTTTTGAATTTTTGTAGAAGATAAACTAAACACATTCAGGAGTGCGAACTAACGAATAAAAGGAGCCATTTAATATTTTGTATGCAACTATGCATACAGATATTAGGTTTTTCGACCAATATGCAATTTTTAATGGAGTTATTTCAATTTTTTTTTTCTTCTCATCATTTGTACAATCAAACAGTTCTAAATCAAAATTTTTCTTTATAACCACTATAATCAATTTTTTTCTTTTTGTTTAACTTCAAGACAATAAAAGTTTATTTTATTTCTAATAAATGAAATCAAATTTTTATTTCAAATGACTTATGTAGATAGATTAAGAGAAATCTTTTTAATTACTACGGTATCACATTGTTTCTCAATTGAACTTTGAGACTGATGAGGAAACATTCACAAGTGATCAATCGCTCTCTGCATGTTGGTTTTCTAGAAAACCAGCATATAAAGGCCTAAGTACATTTCCTATGATTACATCCGGAATCATCATAATTAATAACTCATAAACCAATAGCTATTGTTGGGAAAGTCATTGATCAGTTGAAAATATTCCCTCGTATGCCTATACCATGAACGTGTTTTGTAAGGCTTATTTAATTTACTGAGCAAATATAATAGTTACGGAACGCTAAATTCTATAATGACAGTTAGATTTATTAACTGATAATTTTTATATAATACTGAGCATTTAACTGGTTCTATGTAAAACTGCTATCAACATCGGAATACAGAAAAATGAAGATATTCTCACTTTATATATATGTATATTACACATAATTAAGGTGTGCATAATGCAAAAAATCGAGTGGATTTTTTTCTTGTTCGTTCCTATATGGGTTCATAGAGCATGATGAGCTAGTCACAGATATAGAATTTTTATTTCGACTCCATCAGTGTTTGACTGAAAAAACTCGAATGATTGAAAATGTAAAGTTAGCCAACATGTGCTCCCTTTTTTCAGATGTTGTCAAAATTCAATTATGTTGTTTTTCGAACTTCACGAAAGCATTTTATTTTGATTCATCATCAAAATCGAGATAGAAAAATGTTATTTGATTAGATTTATAGTTAATCAGGTTAAAAAAATCCTGTCTAATATAGATCACTTCAACATGTCTCCTAGCACATCTTTGTCACTTTTCTTGTAAACATATCCAGGCTTTTGAAAGAAGAGATAGAAGCAAATGTTTCAACTCATTATAATCAGCAGATCGTGACCTACAGAAGTACCCATTTAAGTTTTTTTTCTTTTATTTTATTGTTGAGAAAATCTAATCTTGTCCTTATTCCGTGACAAAATCAAATAAAACAAAGTGAAAAGTACAATTGTATTTAGTGGCTTTTATTGTCATGGCTTAGTTGTAAATCAAAATGGATAGCATATTCGGAATCAGCGTCAAAAGCTGCATCGAATCATATACATTTAGAAGAATTTTTTTCCTATGAAAAACCGACTCTTTAAGAAGTAGGAACAAAATTTTAGAAAAATAGATCTGAGGAGGACAACAGGTGTTAAAACAAAATTTAAAAAGACTGAATGGGTACTTTTGTAGGTCATGATCTGGCGATTATAACAAAGTAAAACACTGGCTTTTATCTCTTCTTTCAAAAAAAAACCAGATATGCTTACAAGAAAATTAACAGAGACGTGCTAGGAGACATGTTGAAGTGATCTATATGAGACAGGATTTTTTTAACCTGATTAACTATAAATCTAATCAAATAACATGTTTCTATCTAGGTTTAGATGCTGAATTAAAATAAAATGCGTTCATAAAAGTCGAGAAAACAACGCAATTGAATATTAACTACATCTGTAAAAAGAAAGCGAGTTCATATTTACTAATGCTACATTTTCAGTCATTCGAGTTTTTTCTAGCCAAACAACAATAGACTCGAAATAAAAACTGTACATTCATGACTGGTGCGTCAATCTCTATAAAATCGTATATAAGTTAATGAGAAAAAAATTCACTCGAATTCTGCATTATGTGCTGTCTATAAACTTGTTTAAAAACGAATGTATACTCTCCAGTTAGGGAAGTCCCGAATGTTCGCCAACGAAGCTCCAACATTTTATTGTTTTTATTTTATTCAATACTTCTTAAGAAAACGTCCAGCTGATCTTTTCAGTCATCGAGCTTCCCCCTCAATCCTGGCGACTTCAGGACATTCTTGCTCCCAGTTCTTCGGAATTTTATTAAAACAATGTTCTTTTTCTTCTTTATTATGGTAATAGTTCATGTGCTAATTATTTCGGATCAAGGGGAAGGTATACAAAAGTTTTGTTTTTTGAAGTCTTAAAGATATATGTTTATTGAATCAAACTAAGTTGTTTTTAAGAGAAATTAAAAATCACTAAAATTATTGAACTTATTTTAGAATGATTATTCTCGGCTTAACCGGTGGTATTGCTACAGGCAAAACATCAGCTAGTGAATACTTTAAATCACAAGGTATTTCTATTGTTGATGCTGATCTAATTGCTCGTCTTGTCGTCGAACCTGATAGACCTGCTTATTATCATATATTGAAACATTTTGGTCATTTAAATATTCTTGAATCAAATAGTCGATATATAGATCGAAAACGTTTAGGTGAACTTATTTTTACTAATGAACAAATGCGTAAACAATTAAATAAATGTACACATGGTTATATTCGTCGTGAAGCTCTTCAGCAATTAATAAAATATTTTTTTCAATTAAAACCAATTGTTATATGGGATGTACCACTTTTATTTGAAGTTGGTCTTGATCGATATTTATCACATACATTAGTTATATCATGTGATCAAACAATTCAATTAGATCGTTTAAAACAACGTGATGCTATGAATGATAATCAACAAGCATTACAACGTATTAATGCACAGATGAATTTAAGTGAAAAATGTGGACGAGCACGTTACGTTATTGATAATAATGGAACAAAAGATGTATTACATAAACAATTAAAAGATTTTTTATTAACAATTCAACCGAATCAATTAAATACAATAGCATGGTTTATTATACTTTGTATACCAATGTCATTTATTTATGGTAGTCTTCGATTTTGGGATTTATTGGATGAAATTAAGTATCGAAATAGACGATAAGTTTTTTTTTTTTGTTGTTTCATTTTTGTTTCCTTAATAAATTAAAGTAAAGTTGCATTTTATTTTTCTTGGCATTGGCGCTTTGAAATTTAGTTGAATAATAAAAAAAGAACAATCTAATTGTATTTCGTTTAACTGTCTCGGATTCTCTTCATGTATTACTGTTCTTCTATTCATAATAAACTTTTTTTTAATAATCAATTATCGATGAGATGAAGGCAATACGTCGTTCAAGACGACTTCGTTTGCTTCATCGAAAACCTCAATCAAGACAATCTATAGAAAGTGATAATGATGAATCTGATATTGAACATTATACATTACAAGAAAAATCTACTATACGAAGTAATAAAAATGCTAATCGTATACCAACAACTTTATTTGATACAATTACATATTTACCAATTGAAGAAAAACCACATCAAATATTGCATTCTTCATCTGATCAATCGTCCTTATTTCTCTATTCAATTAATAGTATACAAAAACCAGTAACTAACTCCGATGACCTTACACCATTGACAGAAACAACAACTAATACAACACCACTTACAGCATTGACATATAGTAATACAAAACAAACAGAAACAACAAAAATTGATTTAACACAATTAAGTGGTACAGATACACTCGATAGTTCATCAACAAATACTGATCATGATCACTCATTATCACTTGATAGAAAATTTTCATCATCAAATATAAATAATAAAATTAATAATACGAAAGATTTAACGCAAATATATGATACAGACACAAGTATGAAATCTGTTGTATTCTCAAAAGATAATTCATTAGAACAAGAATTATCATCATATCATAAACATTTATCATGTTTTACTATTCTGGGTGTAGGAAATGGAGATTGTATGACGACAACATCCCCGTCGATAATGGAAGATATATTAGTACCAGCAACTGTAAATACAAACATAAACATTTGTCAACGCTCCCCAGTTCGATGGAATCCATCTCGATGGAATTTACAAAATTTGACAAGTAGATACAAAATGTTGGTTAGCTGTTCATCAATAGGTTTGCTTGTTGGAATTGTGATACTTGTGGTTATTCTTTGAGCTTATCAATCGAAATAATATTTATATTTGGAATTATTCTATAACTCGGACTAGAAAAAACAATACAATTATTTGGATATAATCTTTTAACTTCTTTCGAATGTTTTACGAGTAATTAAAATAATAATCAGTATAATAAATGATACTTTGCATGACATATTTATTGCTTCCTGAATAAAGAACGATTTCCTTTGTTTCACCGCAGTGTGCTGTTGAAAGACAAAACAAAAGCAAAATTATTCGAATCATCTGAGATTTAGGAATAAGTTCAATCAATATTTTTTCGTACTTGATTGAAAAAACTTGTTCGTTTGTAAATTCTTTATATTCCTTAGAGAATCGTTGACACTAAATGTAATCATACAAATGCTCGAAATAATTGGTAGAAAAGAAATTCAAGAACTATCATTTATATGATTGTTTCTGATCGAGCAAATATTAAAATGATCCATGGTTAATTTAACACTGATGAAACGGAACAAACGATTATATGAAAGATAACAATAATTCAGAAAGAAACTCTTCAAATATAAAAACATAATAAAAAATCGGTTATAATTCGTATTTTTCTAGCAATGGTTGATATGTATTGTTTGAAGTGATTTTATTATTAAAGATAAGAAAAAATACACATTCCAACGAAATAAAACTTTATGGTTCAGTTGGTGTTAAATTACTAATTTCACAATATATCACATAATCGATATTTTGGGAATAATTTTATTCATATTCACGAATGTGTCCCAATAGATACATTCGAAAAATAAAAATAAAACCTACAATTTCTCTATTGTAGCCGAACAGTTTGTTTTGTAATCAATGGTCCCTCTTTTTTATAAATCTCAATAGAACTCTATGACACTTTATCATACGAGAATAGATCAGTTATAACTATTGATCGATCAACTTATGATAAGATGAACCCTTAGAGGCATACTTGTCGTTGTCGTCCATGCTTTTTCTGTAAAAAGCCTATGAACATAAAGGCACCAAATTCGCACACATTATCTGATCACTTCTTTTTTTTTTGACAGTAATGACAATGATGTCTCATCATCTTCTTGAACAATCGATGACGACTCAATCGACGCTTGATGGTTGAAAAGAAAAGCAAATGCAGAATAACTGATGAATCGCTCCATTATGTTCTCGATAGACTCATGCTTCATTATCACTTTCAGTCGTTGGCTCTCAGTTTCTTTTTTTTGGATCATCAGAAGCGTAAGTACCGAAAGCTTTTACTGGTGATGATGCTGTTGGTAGAGCAGAAATTTAATGAAGGAAAAAGAAAACGAGAAAACTCTTCAACTAGCCCATCACTTCACATATATGCATAGCACGCAACATTAGCAAAGAAAAGAAAAAAAAGACTAAGTATATGACACCTCATCGATCGAAACGAAAAAGATTTATAAAGATTAATTGTTCCTGTCACAATTATCTTATTAATTCGTAAGATATACTAGTCATGAAGTTAATTGTTCATGACTAAAATAATCCATGTAATATGACAAGTTTTTTTTTTTTTTATTGTTCATGAGAAGAATTAAATATGATGTTAATAGTAACAAAAACTTGCAAGAAAAACAAAGAAGGTTTTTCTTATATATATATATGTAAGTTCTTTTTTAGCCGATTTCTTTCCGCTCTTCTCTTATTGCGTTTCCTCATTGTGCGCTTGCTTGCGTGTTCAATGTTGCGCACATTCCGTTGACGCCGCTACAACAGTCATCATCATCATCCTTTTTTTATTAGTGCTCCTTTAAGTTATTGAAGTGGAGGTGGTTTGCTTTGGTTTGCCTTTTTTTTTCAACTGTAAAAAAGAATGAATGAATGAATGAATGAAAGCAAAGAAAAGAAAAGTAAAAAGAAAAAGAAATTCTGTTACGATTATTGATGTTTCATTGGTGGTGACCATTTTTCAATCATTATACAAGATCATGGATGAATGCAATTGACTAGAATAAGGCGAAGAATCATTTTTGCATATACTCAAACTATATATGCGTACTATAAACCGATTAAACAAATGAGAGGTAATAAGATTATTTTATGTTGTCTTCTCGATTTAGCTAGCGGCTAATTAGAACAAACTGTCAGTTCCCTGATCTATAGCTTTTTCTAAACGGTATAAATATACACAATGCAATGTAGTTGATTTTTTTAAGTAATGATTGATGATGTCAATTGCCACATTTTCTATCGATGCATACATAAACTTGCTGTTGAACTGTGAACAAGTAACTTCTTGTATTCTCTTGCATTCGTTAAATCTATAGAGACTCATGAAGTTACACACGTAATCTGTGAGAATGAATAAGTGAATGGAGAACAGTTATTGCAAGAAACTATAATGAATTTTCTGGCGAATTGTATTTCTACGCCATCCGTCAGCATAGCACGTTTTCCCCCGGTGGGCAGCAATAGCATGACCAAAAAGTCACACACATACACATACACATAAACATGATTTCTTTTACCTCTCTCTCTCTCTTTCTTCCGTTCTTTCTCATATCAGAATCTATTCATTTTTGTAACTATGACTGTTGCTGTTCCTTTTCATTGCGCTTCAGTGTGTTTCTTCTTCTAGAATAATAAGCATGCTTGATTCTCGCTTTACCCAAAACAAAAACGGAAGTCCTTTACATTTGCTAATTAAGTGGTTCGACGACTAAGCAAATGCGCACTAGTAAGAAGAGAGGATAAAGACAGAGACACAGAGAGAGAGAGAGAGAAGAGAGAAAAAAGCGACGCATTTTCTTTCTTTGTAATGTATGCATATAAGCAGCTCTTCTTATTTGTATAGTAGTAGTAATTACGACTTGTAATCGTCATTATGAAGAAGAAGCGCACCGTCAAGGTTGTTCGCACAATTTTTTAACAGCTGGCATGCGTTTAAAATGGGTGAAAAATAGAAGTGCTTGACCAGTATAGCGTATCTTTTTTTTTGTAATACTAGTAAGTGAAGAGAACCAATATTTGACTAAACAAGCTGTGAATGCGATTGAAGATTATGCGAAGCTTGCTCATGCGCCAATTGACGCTTGTCAGAAAGAGAAAAACGGAAGTCATAAAACAAAATATACGTCAACTAACACTAGCTAATTGTTCGATGAGTGAAAAGGATCGTAAATCGATTTTTTTTATCCCTCTATTTTCTTTTTTATTTAACGATAGTATAATCGGACTATGAACGATGCAGAATACATAGAAAGATGATAATCAACAGCAAGTGAGTATGAGAACGGCAAAGATGGAGAGAAAAAAATTTAGCAAACCGATTGTCAGGTAACTATGTAGAATATTTTCTCGATGATAAGTCGTTTTCTTTATGGAAAAGAAAACATCAAAAATCAGTTACGGCAAATTAGCTTCAAAATAAATCTCAGAACAAACGAATGAACGAACGATCAATGAGAAAAAAAAGCGAAGAACCGACAGAATTGTTGTATAGAGTGAAAATGAGCAGTGAATAGCAGCAGGAGAGAAAAAGAAAGATAGTGTCTGTTGGGGTACACATTGTCTCAAAGGGGGCACTCGTTCTAATCAAACTGGCCTCTGCTTTTTCCTGTAACACTATAATCATCATAGTAGCAGTTATCCTCTTTTAATAAACGATGAGAGAAAAAGAAGAGCGAAAGAGGGAGAGAGAGAGAGAGGGAAAAGCAGTAAGAAGATACGATAGAGATATTAGTACATGACAAAATATTTTTTGCGTTTCTTTATATATCTAGACATTATATTTCTTCGTTCTTCTATCATCCCAAGCAATCAATAATATCATCTTGATCATGTGGTGTTGATCTTCAAGTGTATAAAACAGGTCATCTTTATCCTGCTGTTGATAGAACGTGTCATCAATATCAAAACTATGTTAGGATCTTATCAATTATTAGTACTCATCAAATTAATTCTCTTCGAGGTACTCGGACTAAGTAAGTTTCTTTTCTTTTCTTTTTTTTATTCATTTGTCCATTAGACACCTCGAAATGGTTTCCTCATGTACAAACAAACAATCAATGTATAACACAATTCTGTGGACCCTCATAATTATTGTGCCATAGGCATGACATACGCATATCGAACAATAGTATAGAGCTTCATTCAACACCAAATGAATACATATTTGAATTTCTTTACTCAGTTCATTTTAGTCTTCGTTATTCATTGATGATATTTTAAAATTCTTTGATCATGACTATAATAGTAGAAAAAATATTGGCTTCCTTACTTTTCTTTTTTTCTCTATCACACATATGCACAGACAAATGGTATTTCATCTAACAAAACAAAATGTATCTAATAATATGACCTTTTATATGAAGATAACTTGTCAACTAGATAATTGAACATCTCAGTTGATTCAGGTGTTGTCTGCGAACAGAATAATTAACAGTTGTCTATCTATTTATTGTAGTGTGTATTGAAGACGATTCATTTCGTCGTTATCATCGACTACGTTCTTCGATTGACAGTAATAGTTTATCCGGTACTCCATTTATCATTATTTCTGTGTCAGTTGATGACTATTTTGCTGTTCTAAATTGTTCTACACCACAACGAGTATCACATGATAAACTTGATTGGTATTTTCAAAAACGTGCTTCTTTAAATTCACCTCGTGTTATTTGGCAACGTGGCCGTTCAAATATTCATCGTTATACAGCTTATTCACCAGATCAAATTCAACATTATTTACAAATAAAATCAGTTAATTATAATGACAGTGGTACTTATATTTGTATTGATCAAACAACCGGTTTTTCCGACAAAGTAGAACTTATCGTTCGTAAGTTCAATTGTATATATTTATTACGTCATATATTCTCTTCAATTTACACTTGAAAGAATTTCAATAGTTGCTCTTCTTTTCATTTAATAATAAAGTGCACAGCTTAAATTTGAAATTGATTTTTTTCTTCTCCCGTCTTTTTTTTTTGCCTCAATTGAAGTGCAAAATAATTATGCAAATGACTCTTTTTTAATCTAATAGGTAATAGTCATTTTAAGCAAATTAAATATCTTTCTTTTTAACAAAAGATTAAACTACTAAGTTGACAGGTATCTTTTTTATATTTTAGGCGACAGTCGCAGTTGTGCTGGGAGTGCTATTCGTTTACAACTGACAATGCTTGTCTCTCTTATTTTACTTTCATTATTCTTATCCAGACGAACAGCAAGTGAGAGTCAAATAACATGATCACTTTTCATATTTTGTATTTATATACATTATACTTGTCAATGCCCGTCTTCCATCCATCAATGTTCTCACTTTTTATAACGAAAAAAATGAATTTCAATTAAATAGAAATGCAAATGGGATATATACAAGTTTACACTACGAAAGAAATCTCAGGATTGTATTTTTTTTTGTTCTGTCTTCTTATTTGTGACTGAACGATAATAGCATTGAATTTTTATAATGAAAAAAAAAACGCAAACTCGATATTGCCTTTTATATATATATATTATTATAAAAATATGTCCACGTTTACAAACAACTACATGTTATTCTATTGATATGCAGAACAGATGATATTAATAATAAGTTCTTTCATAATCAATGTTTCTATCTTGTTCTACTAAGAAATAACTACATGTTTAGTTCTGTTATCTAAGATGTTTAGCATTACTATTTGAAGCACGTTGATTAAATATTCTATCAAAAACGAAACCATTTTTAACAGGTTCACAATTGAAGCAATTGTTCAATGAAAAAGTCTTCGATTATAATCGGATTAATGCTGGAGTAAAATCAAAATAATAATCGATTTAGGAGATTTTTAGCCGTTTTTAATGGTCAAAATCTCCTAAGTCGATTATAATTTTGAATTTATTACATAATAATCCGATTACAATCGAAACTTTTTTCACCAGATAGTTAGAATCGTATTATTGTAAGCAAAAAAAAAATGTCGAAGAAAACATCATTTTTCGTGAGAATCAGCATGTACAAGAATGGATGTTTATGATTTATCAAGATGTATTTAATTACTTGCTGACCTAAATCCTTTTATTATATACAGATAAGTCAACAAACAACACAAATATACGCCATATATTTGATATCCTGTAATCCAATATATTTAAAGCATTTTATTTTTGATTAATATTCAATTTCAATGATAAATTAAACAAACAATGACTACAATGCATTTCAACGCCGATAGCGTAATGTTCAAGCGACAACAAGAAAAATATAATTATATAAGTATAGAGAATGAGAGAGATCGCAATTCACAGAAAACAAACAACATTACAATAATGGAATACAATGCCGAAAAATAACCAATAGAATTAAAAGAAAACAGATCAATGTAGCATATAAATAAATAAGACTTGCTTATTGAAAGCAGACAAAAAAAGACGAGATTTCTTCTTATCGAACGAGTGTATTTTTGCATGAATAAGAAAGCTTTTACAATCGAAAATAAATGGCAAAAGCTTGTGAGAGAAATTAAAACCCATGGAATGACTAGGTTAAATGGAATGAAACTTGTTTTAGTATCCTGAAGGTTTTTCAGCATTGGTATCATAATTTCGAATTAATTGATCTTGTGGAACAACACCGTCTTCTTCTTGTGAAAAAGCAAAACCATCTAAAGAAATAAGATAAGTATTACGAAAAAAAAAAAGAAACAATTTAATGTAATTATTTACGGTAAGGCCCAGGAATAATTCCTGACATTTTCGGTGTTCGTGTTCGAATGAAAACACTTTTTAATAATGCTAATCGTTCAGCAACACGTGATACTGTTGATGTTTGTCGTGCCATAACTAAATCATATGGATCTTGATTTGCAACTTCTTTTTCTTGTACTTCTTGCATTAATGTTTTATATAAAGTTCTTTGTAAACTATTCAAAATAACGTGAAAAAAGAAAATGAATGAAATTGATTTAGAAGAAAAAATTATTTATCGTTACCAATTGTAGATAAAATCAGCCAATAATGCAGTTATTGGAATTAATAATAAACCAAGCCAAAAGTACAGACTTGAAAAAACATATTTTGCCTAAAAATAAATAAAATTTTAATAATTAATATTTGAATATTTTATTAAACAAATTGATACTTACCATACCACGCATTTCTGGTGCTAATGGTATCGTTGGCCATATATTACTGTATATTATAAAAAACACAAACCATGATGCAATACTTCCCCAAATAGCAATATGTGTAAGCTAGACATAATAATTCAATGAAATGAAATATCTTTTTCATGTCATTTGACTTACGAATGTCCATGAATCACTTTCAAGTCCCGCTTTAAGACAAACAACAAAGATGACATACTAAAATATTTAAAGAGAAAACTCACATCAAATTTATTTATTCATTTTTAATAAACTTTATAAATATTAATCAAGCAACTATTATAATTCGAGCACAACATATTATAACTAAACATACCGTATAAATCATGTTTCCTAGCAGTAGATAATCACCCACTTGTCCGTTGCTATATGCAACGTCTATAGATAGAAAATAATAAGAAGCAAAAGGTTAAGTGATGTGCAGTTAGTTATTTTTTCACATGCTAAGAAGTAAATATGATAGGAAAATTAGTGAATTTAAAGGTAAGAAAAAACAATGTTAATGGCTCTTCATCTGCTAATGAGATTAGTTAAGCACTCATGTACACGTCAAGAAAAAAAAAAAGAAAGATTAGCTCCATTTACAGTATAAACGCAGTTGCCAAGAAATAAATGACTTCCGAAGACAATTCCATTAGGATGAACAACATCTAAATAACATAGACAATTGATTTCTGTCTATCGTTTTCTTTTTCAAGGATGGAAATTAGAAATACAAATGATACGTTAGATTTCAAAATAAACTTTTATACATACCATGTCGAAGCATTGCATAAGACATAAAATAAAGAATAATAGAATGATAAACAGCATTCAAACACCATGTCCAAAAAACCTACAACACAAATCTTTGTTTTTTTGAAAAACAACCAATAAAATCATAATTTACTTTAATATTAAAATCTGATCTATTTTGTGACATCTTATACATAGCTGGAAATCTCATCATAGTTTCGGCACTACAGCATCGATCCAATAATCCAAGTGCCATTGGTGGTGCTGCTGTAAATAAAACATTATAAATTGCGATAGTCCATCGTTCAAATAAAATTTGTCCAGAAAATCCATTATGAAGTGCAAACCAAAGCTAGAAAAAATTAATTCAAATGACTGTTTTTTATTGATGCAATTAGCATATCAAACAAACCTCCATAACATAAAGACAAATATTTTTATAGAATGAATAAAGTAATACTTTACATAAACGACGATAACTCCAAACACCATGAACAAATAATAATTTAGTTAAAAATCTAAATTGTCCAATTGTATAATCTGATGCCAATGCAGCTTGTACACCTTCTCGACCCATGATACCAACACCAACATGTGCTGTTTGTATCATACCAACATCATTTGCTCCATCACCTATTGCTAATGTTATATCATCTGTTGATCGTTTAACAAGTTCAACAACTTCAGCTTTTTGTTTTGGAGTAACACTAAAATCAAAATAAAAAGAATTCTTTGTCTTTTATTTATTTATTTATTTATTCATTTTTCGCTTTACCGACAACAGATAACTGTTTTACATGAAATCGCTAAATCAAGAAAATCTTGTCGACATGGTGGTGATAAGGCATATTTAAGTGTTTTTCCTTCAATAATAAGTGATGCGAGATTTTCTTTACGTAATGAATCACCAAATGTGAGACAATGTTCACGTAATTGTCGTCGAGTATCCTTTAAAAAAATATTTGTTTTTGAAAATTATTGTACACAGCTAAAAAAAACTCTGTTTACATCAAGTGTTGCTTCATCAAGTGTTAAATTAAGTAATTGATCAGATAAAAGTTTACATGAATAACCAATATTTATTGCTGTTTCTTTTTTGTCACCAGTTAATACCCAAATCTATGAATTATATTTATTTTTGTGATTCGAAAATATCAATATATGGTAAAGTGTAAAAAGATTGCCGTTAGTTGTCTGAAATTTTCCGAATCTTTTTTTCTTAACTTTTTGGAACAGATGGTTCTAGAACTATCTCAAACGTAGGAATAAAGTACTATGCAGAAGAGCTGATAACAGTACGTCTCCAGATGTTTTAATTAGTCTGCTAAAAATATCATGTAAGTTGAGTATTAGCCATCTGTCGATGAATTGATCAGGAGTCCTACATTTTTATAACATAGATTATCGTTGTGCAGTCGAAATTCTCCGTCAAACAAAAATTTCTATGTGTACTGTTCGACATAATATCAAAAAGATTCAGAAACTGAGTACTATACAACATCGGAGTGGTGATTGTGGACTGCGCGATGTCACAGCCGACAGCAATATATTAATCAGCCAGTGAATCCTAAACAATAAATTAAATCACCGCAAAATAAATTATACAGAAACTGTAGTGCAGCGTCAGTTTCCTTGAATGTGTTATGCAAGTATTTTACCTTGAGCAACTCACATGTTAACAAAGAAACATAACGAGAAACGTGTATAAAGGGGGATAAAATACAAGGACGATGGCTGAAGTCGAACAGTGTGCCCTGATGAAACTTGTTTCTAACTAATCAGAAATAAGATTTGTTGTTGATCCAATAATGTTCAAAAGGAGAAAAAAAAATTATGGTCTCGTGGTGAGGGGGAGAGAGAGAATAGAGTTACTATCAAAGATCAGATTTCATACTATGCATTTAAAACAACTATGGATAGTCCTTACTACGTTGAAATACTTCATAATCATCCTCTTCATGGAGCAAGAAAACAATAAGGGCAACGGTGGAGCTTCCATAGGACAACAATCCTAAATATAGAAGTAGGATAGCCAAGCGATTCTGGGACCACGAAGTGCTCGAAACGATCGACTGGTTGTATACTTGGAACCGATCGAATTTTTTTCAGCCGGTTGAAACACTTGACTTAACCGGTGAAAAATTGTGTGCTTCATATATCAATTAAGTAATTGATTCTTTCGAGAAACAGTCTATTACTTTAGTTTTAGGAAGACATACAAGATAAAACTCATATAACTCTTGAAGTGTCTAATAGTAAGAGACTCTTATTATAGACTGTCATGTTTCATCTAGTAACTCACAGCAACTAATATCAAACAACATCATATACTATACTTTGTCTGACTTTTTTTTAAAAATAATGATATGATTTCTTGAGAATTGACAAGGTTTGATCTATTCTTATTTGAAATAATTATTAAACATAAGTGAAAGGCATCTCAATATTTAATGATTATAAATAAAAAAAAGTTAATGGCAATTTATTTTTGCACCTTACTGTATCTTCTTTCGTATTTTACCTTTATACCAGCTTTTAAAAGCATTGAAAGACTGTCTGGAACATTCTGTAATTAAAAAAAAACAAAAAAAGAAAGTTTTATTTGTTATTAAAAACTTCTTTTTTACATCTTGTAATTTGTCTTCAATGCCAGTAGCGCCTAATAAAATTAATTTTTTTTCAATTCTTTCAGCTACTTCAGAAACTAATTCATGTCGATTATTAATTGCAGTTGATGCTTCACGATATTGAATGAACCATTCCTAATAATGGATTTAACAATTTTTTTTTTCATTTAATAATATTTTATTCTTTAATTTACATTATATTCATCATTTGGTAATATTCGATAAGCAAGACATAATGTACGAAGACCATCTTTAGCAAAACTTTCTAAATGTTCCGTTGTTAATGGAACATTAAGATCATCTGATACAAGACGTTCCATAATAACATTATCCTAAAAGAAGAAAATAGTTTTTGTTGATTTGTATAATGAAATATTCAAAATAACTTACAGCGCCTTTACAATATAATTTTATTTCATTTTTTGGTGTTCGAACAATAACACTCATTCGTTTACGATCACTTCAAAATGAAAAGATTAGTTGAATAAAATTTATTCAATATTTTACCTGCTGAATTCTAATACATTTAAAATTTCATATTTTTCTTCTTCACCTCGCTAGAAAAATTAAAAAATAAATTTTTAAAAAGAAAAGAAATCTTGAAATTTAGTTTATTTACAAAGTTAACAATCACACTATCGGGTGTACGACGAAAGAATACGACGCCCATATCTTTTGTTGCTGTTACTAATGCATATTCATCTAAAATATTAAAAAAAAATAATTCAAAACTTTTTTTTATTTCTTTTATGAATTTAATTTTTACCTGGAGATGATGCTTGATAAACAATATCATTGAAAGAATCCGTATGCATTTTATTTTCTGGTACCACTGTATGACATGTTGCAAGAAGAGTAAGGAATTCTCGAATTTGATCAGCAGTACTCTAGAAATAAATTAAAATATATAATACAATAGAATGAATGTTAATTTCAAGAAAGAACAGCAACTTTGGTATGCCTTGTAATTGCATAAAATCTATTCAATATTCACATGACATGTTTATCTATTTTCTAATGATAAGTACTTTAGTATCAATTGTTGTCATTAGAGATGTGCTAGACGAAACTTCTTCTGCTCTGGTCTGACTGCGATCTAGAGAAAATTTTAAGATAATTTGTTTTAAAACTACAAAATATTTAACTATAATCATAATTTCTAGTTGGACAAATTCTTTCTCATGGTCTCGGCAAATCTTCAAATTTCACTCACGCACATCTCCTCTAGTCACAATTTTGAGATGAGAATTTATTAAGTCGAATATATCAGAAAAATTTCATGTTTCTAAAAATTAGTTACAGTCCTAATTTCGATCATACAAACGGTCGCAGAATATCTTAAGATTATATTATACTAGTCCAAAGATTTTAATCAATGATTAACTCCTCATGTTTTAACTATGAATTATTTAAGCTTAAGCTTACATGCTGTTCTAAATTTTTCAGTAATTCATAACTATTGAATTCTACAACATTTCCAGATCTATAAAAAGAAAATTTTCATATAACATTATAACCAACGAAATCATATTATCTTACCCATACATAATACCACCAATAGAACATTGTTTAAAAACCATAACATTTTTTGTTAATGTCCCCGTTTTATCCGAAAAGATATATTTTACTTGTCCAAGTTCTTCATTTAAATTCGATGTTCTTGCACTTGCTGGTGTATCAGTTTCTCGATCATACATATCGATATCCTAAATGACAAAAAATGAAAATGGCTATGAAAAACAAAAAACAAGGAAACTTCTATTTATTTTTATTATACCCAATTAATGAAATATGCTTGAATAAATTTAACAAGATCAATTGTTATTTGTAATGAAATCGGAATTAAATTATTAAATAAAATAAAGAATGTTAAGAATGTATAACCAAAATTATTCGGTACTGTACCTAAAACAAATTTAAAACAGATGATAAAAACTATATATTTCAAATATTTACTAGCTGTTTTATCTTCACTAAGTTGCGTTAATCCAAGATACCAATGTGATATTTTATTTCTATGATTCCAAATTTCTCCAGCTATTGTACTGAATGAGCATAAGACAATCAAAAGTCCAAGTAAAAATAAAATCTATAAATCAAAAAATTCAAAAAAAGTAAAGAAATCTTTTTTATTTAAAATATTTTTACTTGACTATTAGTCACTTGTTCAACATTAGTTCGTTTAAAAGGCACAGAAGATGAATTCTACGAATTAAAATCATTCAAAAGAAAAATCCTTTTTTTTTCTATATAAAACTAACCATCATTAATTTTGTTTCATGTCCACTATAAATAACAAGTCCATAAATCCATGCTGTATTTTTTAACTGTGAACCACGTAAAAGTATTTGATCAGCTCCTAATGGAATTGCAAAAGCAACATTATTAAGTTTTAATGTTCCAGCAAATTCATATAAATTTCGATTAGGTAATTCACATTCAATAACACCATGTAAATCTCTTAATTGTACACTTGATATCATATGAGCTGTTTGTGGTAAACCCTAAATAGGAAGTGTCTTTTTAATTTTTCGGAAGACAAAAAGAAAACAAATCAAACCTGTCGAACTTTGAGATTTGTTTCACCATCGAGATTAGACGTTTGAATATAACATATTGAGTTTGGTTCACTAGATAATTAATAAAAAAATTCATTTCTTAAGATAAAAGTATATGAATACGAACCCAGATGAAAGTAAAACAAGATCTGCCGGAAAAAATTCTTTATCAATAACTTTCACAATATCGCCAACTTTAACTTTTTGCCAAGTTGTAAATAACCAATTTCCATGTCGATAAACTAAATGAAATTACTTAATAAATTCTAGAAGTTAAACATTTTTATTTTACTTAAGACTCTTCGTTTATTTACTGAACCATCTTGTATATGCCGTTTCTACATAGAAGAAAATATTTTATCGAAATACTAATGTATGTAAATAACTAACCACATCCTCAATAATTTCTTTAATAGCAGCACAACAAAGAATAATTGATAATGGAACAGCTGTTGTATATCTTCCAGTAGGTGAAACACCAGGAATTTGCTAAAATTGAATTGAATTAAATAAAATATGATATAAAATATGTTTATAATTACTTGAAGTACAGCAATACAAAGAAAAAAAATATTTGAATATTTACGAAATTGTTCAAAGAGAAATTTCGGTAAAAAAGATAAAATTGAATATTTGCTTGTACTAATATGATTTGTAATAAATTTAGTTGGTTGTTGTCCACGATTTATTGTAATTATACGTTTTGTATCATCATCAATATTAGTTGTAAGTGTTGTTCTAGAATTTTGACTATTACTTCTTTTATTTGTTAAAATATCTCCAATTTGGCGAAAAAAATGCATTATTGACGAAGTTTGTCCCATTGCGAAGAAGAAGGCGCAGATACTAAGCACCAATCGTCGCAAAGTTAATACACAACGACGACGAGGTGGAATTTTTCTTTCACTAGTAAAAATTCATACAGAAAAACCTGAAAAAAATCATATGATAGAAATAAAATAAAATCTCAATTAAGACAATATTGATTAACCTTCTTTTTGGTTTCTGTCGATCTAATTTTTAATGTATGTGATCTACGGTTTGATGCAACGAATGCGTTGATATTTTAGTGGTTATTTTTAGATTCACTGTATGAAGACATTTTCATAATCGATATATAAGTTACGATTGATATATATTCAGAATAAGTGTACTATGAATAATAATTTCTTCTAAATATTATTCTAGTCATTTTTCAAAAATGCATAGATGACGCTAGATCATGTTTTTTTTTCCATGGTAGAGGGTTGACATAGAAATTATACGGAAGAAAGGATTCGACAACACTTAACGGATTGATGTTCATTTTTACTAATTGTCAAGCAAGAAGTCTAAGATGATTTCCCAATCTTTCTTTAATAAAATATTTTCAAACACAATATTGAAAACAAATAGCAGAAAAATCATTATTTTAGAAAGTATGTTAATAGCTTTGCTCAGACTAATGTCACAACTATCAACATTATTTCTGATTAGTAAGGCAAGATGATTCCTTTTAAATGCAAAATAATAAAATACATTCATTTGAGTTCTTCTCGAATAATATAATGAAAATAATGAAGAAGTTTAAATGTATATAATAAGATTGATGCAATTTTCACCAGTCACTGTCGATTTTGATGTATCTGTTCAATGCGATCTTTGTCTAACATATGTATAAGATTGTATCATGGTTATTATCGTTGTTGATAAATTGCATAGTTTGCTTGTTGCTAAAATTGGAGCGTAATTCTTTTAGATGATAATCAAAGCCTTTCGATTGATCAAGAACTTTTCCGATTTTCATATCCAGTATTGATGAATGCATCAATTTGAGAATTTTTATTTGATGATGATGTTGGTACATTGAAACGTCAGCAATACTAACAGTAAATACTAGTTTTCTTTTTTTATTGAGTATTCTAACTATGGTCATCTATCAAACAATTGTGCCATGAATGATCGACATTCATGATTTCTTAGCTAAGGACTGATGAAGGAACCTCAACAACTCAAAGACTTGGTTTGAGCTCATAGTTTTCTCATTTGTAGTACTCCTAGGGTAGATAAAAACCCGAAGAGGGTTCTTCCCATTAGATTTTTGCTCGTGAGTTATAATCATTTTTTTGAGTTTCCAGTTTAGTGCAGGCTATTACGAGCAAAACCAAATAAATGAATTCCAATCTGAAATTTCACTCAAAAGCAGATCTCACGGTTGTTATAATATCCTGAAAGATTCAGTCAAAACGAATGCTATATTTTCGAGATAACAAGTCTGAAAAAATGATCTTTTCTCACAAAAGAGTCAAGAAAATCTGATTCATTTAGCAGTCAAACATCTTTGGAAGAAATCATCGATTTTCGATGAGGCTTTCAAAATATTATGAGGGTCATGAGATCTATTTTTGAGCGAAATTTCAGATTCGAACTCCTTTATCTGACTGTGTTCGTAATGTTCGGCAATAGGTTGGGAATTCAGTAAAATGATCATAACTCAAGAACAAGAACCTAATGGAAAGCATCCTTTTAGGTTTTTTTATCTACACCATGAGCTCTACCTATGAGCTCAAACGGAGTGTATTAGCTAGTGAGATTCCGTTGTGAGATAAAAGCAATACAATAATTCTTTTTTTTCTTCATTCTGGTCACAGAAAGAGATTCAAGAAAACAAATAATAGTATTCACAATGGCACATGAGCTGAAGGAGAAAAAAATTAACTAAATTGTTTAGTTCATTGTGCTTTAACAAATGTTCGTAAAACATGACCAGTTTTATCAACTGGACTAAATATCTTTTTTTCTAATATTCACAACTATTTAATATTAATTGTACATCATTACAAAAACTCATCACATTTTGTATATTGATGATTATGCATTTTTGTTTCCATCGACGAAAAATCCATTAGAAATCTTCTACATTTATAATATTTAGGATATTGTTTTGCATCAACTAGTGTCTGAAATGGTTGCAATGCATCATTTTTTAATATTTCATTTAAAATAATTTTAAGAAAAAAAGCAACAGATCACCTTCGTGTTTTTACTACAAGATAGAAAACTTGCTGATGCAAATATTTTTCATGCTTTGTTTTTCGACACTGTCAAACATTTGGTTCATTTCTACTCAAATCTAAGTCAAAGAAATATTGTGATCACATATTTGAAAAGAGCATCAAGTTGTGATTTTAGTTAACTACTTTTGATTCTCAATAGTGATGTTTAAATGGCTAAAAAATGAATGAATATTTTATGACAAGATGTTCGAAATAGAACTTATTCTGATCATTTTGTTATAATTTCGTCAGAAAATGGTTTGAATAAAATCAATAGTAGTTGAAGAAAGTTTCAACGATGATCATTTTATAATCCTTGATTATTAATTATTATAATTATAGTTTGTTCAATTGATTTTACATAAGTTTTAAATGAAGAAAATTTATCTATTAAATAATTATGTTGAACAACTGGCACAGTTATTGAATTTATTTTGAAAAGATTTCAAGTATAATTTTCAAGTGAATATTGAAGATTTTTTGGTTTAAAAATTTGATTGCAATATAATAGTACCAGGTGAAAGAATTTTTGGTATTATTGTATGGATAGATTTAAAAAGAAAATGAAGTTATTTTCTTGTTTAAATATAGATTTTAAAATTTATATAGAATATGTTCAACAATGTCGTTATCGAAATTAATGTGAAAATGTTTAGTTTGATTAATGAATGAACTAATAAATAAGCTGATTACAATTTATATTACATGGTTGGACAAATAATTGATCAATACATATAATATGATTATTTGTATTGAATATATTTAAAGAAAACTAATAGAAAAATCTTTCAATAATAAAAAATTGGATTATCAATATCAGATAAAATTTCAAGTATACGATATTCAACATGAGATTTATAAACTATCCTGAAAATCTAGATAAATAATTTCTATTCGTAATAGTTTATAAAATGGGTTAAATTCATTGAATAATATTGAATGAGCATTATTAAACTTCAAAATTTAAGAATGTGTCGTCACACACCTAGTTCGAATAGACATCAGAGACTTTTTACTGAAATAATCAATGCAATATAATCGATGAGCTAAGTCATATCTAATCATAAAAGATCTCTTCTGTAGAAGATGTATCTGATTTTGTTCATTTTTTGATTCAGAATACACATACAAACAAATAGATAAACAACACTCCGATGAGAATAAATATGTTATATCAAATAAAAGATCACGTTCAGATAAGTATTTTTGGTGGCAAGATCAACTATTGTTCCGCAGATGAATAAAAAGTTTGAACAAGATCGATATTCGATATTTGTAGGTCTAAATTAGTTCCATGATCGATCTGATATAGTACTCCTATTCATATGAAAACAATAAAAAAAATTATTTTTACTTCAACTGCGTAGTAGATCATATTGGTCTTTAACATTGCCATAAATATTAACTTTTTTGCTTTGGTCGTTTCGACTTAATAGCCGAAATATGACCCTCAAAAAATTATCTATAGAGTGTTAGGTATGTCTAGTGTAGATCTTTGATCTCTTCAACAGAAAGAGCAAGCAGTACCTTTTTTTTTGTATCATTAAAAGCTGTTTATATTAGCTACAAAATTCACGTATTAGAGATGAGAAGACTCCTCATGAAAGTACAGACTACAGTTAAAGTACCGATCTTGACTAAAAACTAATCGTCTTTCCAGTATTTGCCGTCCAATGCTACTCGAAACAAAAACAATTCCAACATCAGAACAGTATTCAGCATAAAAAACTGAGTCGATCCATATGTTTCATAAGAATACGGCGTCTTTTATTCTCTTTCAAACGTGCGATCCTGGCTCTTCTCAGCAAAATGTACCATTGCACGACAAATGCGCGAAATACTACGGATTTTAAGTCAAAATCGATATTTCGATCGTAGTCTGTACTTTCATGAGGAGTCAATCTTCTCACCTAAGTTTTCTCACCTCTAATATGTGAATTTTGTAGCTAATATAAACAGCTTTTAATGATACAAAAAAAAAGGTACTGCTTGCTCTTTCCGTTGAAGAGATCAAAGATCTACACTAGACATACCTAACACTCTATAGATGATTTTTTGAGGGTCATATTTCGGCTATTAAGTCGAAACGACCAAAGCAAAAAAGTTAATATTTATGGCAATGTTAAAGACCAATATGATCTACTACGCAGTTGAAGTAAAAATAATTTNCATTAACTTGAAGAACATGACGACATTCAATAAAATAAGATGAAATATTATTTCAGTCAATTGATAATGACGGTCTCAATGATAGAGATATTGATGTTGAATCTATCTTTAATGTTTTTAATAGTTTATCAGGTACAGATGGTGATTCTAAAATCAAATAAATATCATTTAAACTTATTTATTAATCGAAAAGAAAAAACTCTATCAAATTGATTATTTGTTGAAAATAAACCATTTAACATTACCATTTTGTTTTTTGTGGTTAAACTGCTTTTTCAAGTGATTTAGCTTCATTATATCTAATAGAATTGACTGCTTTAATATGAAAATGATAATAGGCATTTTCATTAAAGTTTGTAGCCTGAAAACTTGTTACTGTTGCTAACACAGTGGTTCAGATATATCAACTTTACATATTAATTTAACTAGCTTTTCTAACACTGATGACTCTAATGAATAATCTTTAAGATTTTCAAAATATATTTGTGTGAAATAAGAATCGTCATCTGGACGGGTGCGAATGTGAGTATGAGTGTGGGAGTCTTGTCTTCATTCACACCCACAACCATAGCTACACTAGAGTCTAGGTGTGCTTGTATCTGTGGGTCTCGGTAGAAGCA